GAAGGAGGCAGACAGAGCGACAGAGCTAACCTCGCTGAGAAGGTGACTTAGGAAAAGTCTACAGGAAATGGAAGAGGGAGCCTGCAGAATGTATTATCAATTCAAAACATGAAATTAAAAAGAGCAATCATTCCATTTAAACTTTCTAACAACCCTATTAGAAGTTATTACGGCGGTTATTATTATTAATGAGATTATCACTCTCATTATAAATGATGTTATGATCCCAAGGGGTTGCTTGCAAAAGTTGAAACCAGAAATGCTAACGCTTCCAATCCAAGTGCTAAGATAGAAGGAAACAAACACACAAACAAACAAAAAGCTGTTTTTGGAGAACACAAATGGATGCCTCAGCCAAAGTGGAGAGTAAAGGGAGAGGATGACACTGTCCCAGGTCTAAAGACTGGGAGGGAGTCAGCGAGTCCAGGCCTGGAAGGAAGAATCTTTGGAAAAGAAAATGACTGTGTAAAAGCAAAGAGGTGAGGAAAGGTCAGGCAAGAGGTTTAAAAAGACTAGAGTGTGGCTTTGGTCAGGGAGGGCTATGACTAAATAAGGGCATGGAAATGTCAAGGTCAGACCCTAAAAGCTCTTGGAAGGCACATAACGAACTGCAGGCTGGAGCACCTCAAACCATCCCCAAGACCCTTTTCCTTGCTTGCCTCTACTCTAGAGCATGCTTTTTCAACTTTAGCACTACTGATATCTTGAACCAGTTAATTCTTCGTTGTGGGGGGTTGTCCTGAGCATTACAGAATGTTTCTCCACCTGCTAGATATCAGTAGCAGCCACCCTCCCTGCTCCAGTTGTGACAACCAACAATGTCTCCAGACATTGGCTGCAATACCCTCCACCTCCCATAGGGCAAAATCGCCCCTGGTTATGAACCACTGGTTTGGAGGTTTAAAAAGCTAAAATTCTCATTTTTTTTTCCAGCCTTCCTTGCAGCTAGAGATGGCCAGGTGACATAGTTCTATGAGAGCAGATCTACTAGAAAATCCTTCCTTCTACTGCTTTTTTTTTATCTTGAGTGAAGCAACGAAAGCAGCCACTTTGCAACCATGAGATGACAAGCATTAAAAAAAGGCCGTGAGAATCACATGGACATTGCTAACTACATTTAAGGTAAAGTATGTTGCCTACATTTTTGAGGCCATAGACTAATGCTAGCAAGCACCTACCTCCGGACTTCTTGTTTTGTGGGTAACATAACTCCTGTGTGTTTAGGCCACCAAATTGAAATTTTCTATTATTTGCAGATGAAAACAATTCTAACTGTGAAATCATACAAAGCTTCCTGAATTTCATCCCAGAGATAGTGAGGATCCACTAAAGGATTCTAAAAAATAAAAAGAATTCGATCATCACACCTACATTTTGGAAAGATCATTTTCTACAAAATACAGTCTGTGAAGCAAGATTGGAGGCAGGTGCCGTGGAAAATGTGATTATGGTGAGGCAGACAAAAACATGATGGGGCTGGGAATGAAGCGGAGGGGACACATTTGAGGGACATTCAGAGGCAAAATGGACCAACCCTGAGCAATTGGATACGGGCAGTGAAAATGTTTCAAAGGCTGAAACTTATATTTCCGGTGTATCTGATGCCCTAAATGGTACACGAAAGAAGGAGTATGTTTAAAGAGAAGAACAGTGTTCGATTCTAGGCCAGGGTGAATGTGGAATGCTCCTGGCTCATCCAAGGGGTAACATTAAAGGCACTGAGATACACCGTTTGAAAGTCAGAAAAGAGTAAGAAACTGGTAATTTAAAATATGTATATATGATAAAATTCAAAATTTTAAATGCCAATAAAATAATAATACTTATTACAAAAGTAATATCAGTGAAGTATAGAATACTTAAATATAGCTAAGCAAACAAAAATTCCAAATACACAGACAGATACTTAAAGAGCCCCAGCATCCAGGTGTAATTTACAGTAAAATGTGGTTACATGTACATGGAAATACACACACGTAAATGGTATTATACTGCAAATGCTGAATGATAACAGGCCTTGTTCACTAACAGCATATCATAAACATCTTTCTACTTCAATTAATATCCACCCATTTTTTTAATATATTTTTTTTACTATTACAAACAGTTCTGAGATCAACTTTCCTCATAGTAAAATTTTTGCCTCTATCCCTAATTATGTCCTCAGGATAAATTCTGAGATGTGGAGGAATTGCTCACTATATAGTATGTGTTTTTGAGGTTTTTGACAGACACTCATAAATCATTCTCTAGAGAGGTTGCAGCAATTTACAGTCCCTCAGCACCATGTACAAGTAATTACCTCCCCACACTTCCCCAAAACTGAAGTTATATACTTAATCACTCATATCTTTGAGAATTTTGTAAAATTAAATGTTAACCTCATCGATGCTTTTATTTCGCATTTGTTTAACTGCTAGAATTTGAGCCATTTGTGTTTTATGAGCAATTTGTATTTTTCCTCTGGCAAACTGCTGATTCTTGTCCGTTGACCACTTTCATTTCGGTATACTTACCTTTTATTGATTTGTAAGAGCTCTTCAACCCTTCATCAACGCTATATTTTTTTTTTCTTAGTTTGCATTTGCCATTTATTTTTAGGGTATGTTTTGATCAACAGATATTTAAAACTGTTGGGATGCTCATGGTTTGAACTGGCTACTGTGAAAAATAGGAACAAGATGTATCCAAAAAGCAAAGAGAGATGCTGACACCCTATTTGAAAGGCTCAGCTGAGGTTGGAGACCATGAATTTCTAAGGAGGTCCATTTGCAAAGCTGGAGCAGCATTTGGTTATTTGAGCACAGAGGGAAAAAGTAAAATTCACTCAGAGTTTATATTTGCTTGATTTGGACAAAGGAATAAGGGAGTTACGTGTGTTAGCAAGTTTGTTGCTGAAATGATGGGTCACGTGGAACAGGATCAGAGGCAACTGATGTGCTGGGAAGGGTGGGAGTTGAAAACTCCCTGTAGTTGGAAACCAGACACAGCAGGATGAGAACATGAGAGAGCTACAAGATTAGGAAATTTTTCTACAATTTTCTTCTATCAAATAACTTTTCTTATTGCTTCTGATCCACTTATTCTATTGTCTTCTTTTAAAACAGCAATTATTTCTCTCTGTTATATTTACCCTCACAGTTTACAGTTTCTTTATTGATTTCCTTTACGGTCAGGCAGTGTTCCCCATCAAAATCAGAATCGATTTTTCACCCGGCAAGTCTGCTGATTGGATTGAACACATAATTTTACTGTAGCCGCTCTACTTTCCATTTCCTTGCATCTTCTTTTAAGCTTAGCTTGTACTTACTTAAAAGAAGCATTGTCTTCCTGCATCCCGAGCAGGATTTAACTCCAGCATGTGGGGTGGGAAGGAGAAAAGTCGGAGAGAGAGGAAAACAGGGCCACGCACCCTTTCAGACTTTACGAGATCATAAGACACCGGTAAACACCAGGCCATTCAATGAGTTACCACACTCGACAGTCACAACTCAGGGTCGTGCCGGCCAGAATAGAAAGCTGCCAGGTACCTCTTGTGCCGAGAAGAGTTCCAAAGTCCAGCACCCTGTTTGCTCTCACCAGAGGTATTTTCTTGCAACAGCTGATTTGCAAGTGTCCTTTGAGGCCTTGAAAACTCCAGACCCTCTCTGGCACTCACTTCCTTTCAGGGGTGTCCTCACTATAGAGTGGGGGGACCATCATTCACTTGCTTGTGAACACATGATACCAGAGTTTCAGACATCTCTTTTCCAGCTCCAGTGTCCTTTTTCCCAAGAATAACCTCAAAGAAAGGGCAAAGCTGAGATTCCTCTGATGGTGGGTGCCAGGGGAAGGAGGCCCCAGGTACCAGGCTTCTTTAAGGAGGTGAGGAGCTGACGGAGGGCCTGGCCTTTGCTAATCCGAGAAGGGAGAAGCCTAACCCCCAGGCATGGGCAGACTACCTGTTGCATCTTGCAAAACAGAAGGAGCCAGCCCAGTATGCCCTGAGAAGTCCTCCTTTCTAAAATCAGGTTACACGTCATCCAAGATCATCTCGCAAGAAGAAGCCATGAGCTTCCCTTAGTCTCAGCCCTGGCTCACATTTTCCCTTGTAAATAGAAATGTCAGGTTTTGCGTCTGAACCCTGAAGTCACCACATATCAACCTTGGCTCGAGAACTAGAAAGCAAAACCAGCCCTTGCCCGGAGGACATCTAATCAGAACTCCAGTCCCTTTCTTTTTATACACCATTCAGAGACATCAGGTGAAACAAACAAAGTAAAAAGAAACTATGAAACAATTAAAAACTCATTCAAACCGTAGAAAATCAGTTTGGTTATTCAAAACAGTAAGCACTGTCATGTACTTTGCATGAATTTCAGTTTGATTCAGGTATGTTTTTGTATATTTTTAAATGGCTTCTATTATATGAAGAGCATCTGTTCTCAAGGAATGATCTTGGGAAACTCAGCCGTCTTCCTAAAAGCACAACTTTGGCCCAAGGATGGGGCAAAGAGCAGACTCTCCCAGACTCACACCTTCTGTCTCTGTGCCTCCCAGAAGGTCATCAAACACCTCACACAGCCCCCCAAACACAGGACACGTGCGCATGCACACACACACACACACACACACACACACACACACACACACGGGGTGGGGTTGAGAACTACTGCACAGAAAGAGCCATGCTGAGGACACTCCACCAGGCCTTTCACATCGGAGTTAAATGCATAATGACAGAAGCAGACAACAGCCCCAGGCTACTTCATTCACTCTTTTCAGCCCAAAAGGAAACCAAACATTTTCAGCAAGATAAGCTCCTATCATCTTATCACCCCCCACTCCCCATCTGCCAAGTCAGAGAATGTCCCGCTTAACTCTCAACCCAGAGGACCCTGCATCTCAAAACTCAGCAGAGCAGAGCCCCTCTGCTATAATTGCACAGCATTTCTTTCCCGAATGCTCCCTGGCCCCAGCCCCAGGCCTCAGCCCCGGCCCAGCCGAGACAGGACAACTACCTGAGACAAAGGAATAGGCGGCCAGGATGTCGCTGAGCAAAGCCATGTCCACGCGCTGGGCAGTCGGAGGCTCCCTGCTGCGGCGAGGGGCAGCCTCCGCGGGCATCCAGAGGCGCCTCCGGGAGATGCTCCGGCTGGATCAATGCGGCTCCTCCCTCTCTCCTCCTCTGTTTGGGAACACAAAGTGAGTGATGAGAAGGCATTCCGCTTTCCCGAGGCTGTGTTCCAGGTAGCCTGGGCTCAAAACAAAGAGCTAGTCTCCTAAATGCCAGCCGGCCTCCCAGCCAGGGGCCTGGGGCCTGTCCTCTCTGCTCTAAGGAGCTTCTTGGCTTCCCAGGAGGGAGCACCTCCTGAGTGTCCGTTTTTCCTGGCCTTTCTCTGTTCTCTTCCCCGTATCCTCCCAACTTCCCATCTCAGCACTCCTCCCTCACCTTTTCTGGTGCTTTTTATTGCACTCTCCCTGTTTGCCCTGAGGCACTGTAACCCCAAGCGCAGCTGGCTCTCGGCCTGGCTCTGCTTCTCCTGAGCTGTTGGCACCTGTGTACTTTGATCCGCGTGCCTCATGCCACAGGTCGCCAAATGTGTGTCCTCGGCAATGGGTCTGAGCTGGCTACTCCAGGCCTGCCAGAGTGCTTCCCATTCTCAAATGCCCCCAAGAACTTGGGAGCTCGAGCCCGCTCCCTGCCCACAGTTTCATGACTCCACTTGTGACTGCGATGGGCCAACCAAATGCACACGCACTGCCCCAGACTGCCCACTGGTGAAAATTCCCACCAGGGTTCAGAGCAGGGACTTAGGGTCTGTGTTCAGGGGCTCGGCCTCTGGCTGGGGGAGCACAATATTTCCCAGCTGCGGCATAATCATTGTTCAGTTCACTCAGAGAAGCCCTCGCAGAGGGCTCCATGGATGGAAGGGGGAAGAGTCTTGATGACATGTATTCAATGCTGCTCTGAGCTGAGGGTGGGAGACTGAGTCACAGGGTGTAGAAGGATGTCAGGATGGGAAAGCCAGAGGAGCTGAAGGCTCCAGTCCTTTAGAGGAAACAGGTTTTCGGTGGATCACCCACACGTAAGGGGCCTGAGAGCTGCAGTTCCACAGGTAGAGAGAATGGGTCGCAACAGAAAAGACAACTCTCACTCTGGTAGATTCCAACATGCTCAGGAGAGACCAAAACCAGGAAGGACAGACCAACCTGTAGGTAAGAGTGAAATGACCACAGGTCCTTAGAGCAGCCAGAGGCCCCAGAGCGGCAGGACAAGGAGTGGGAGCTTGGGAGCTCTGAGAAGGGGCTGGCTACCACTCCTGCCACCCTGGGCAAGGCCACTGAATAAGGAAAGAATAGTCTTTTCGACAAATGATGTTGAGAAAACTGGATATCCACATGTAAAAGAATAAAGTTGAAGCCTGACCTTACTCCATATTAAAAAAATTAAAAATGGATCAAGGAGCTAAAACTATAAAACTCTTAGAAGAAAACATAGGGGAGAAGCTTCATGACATTGGATTTAGGAAACATTTCTTAGATATGCAAGGCAACCAACGTAAAAATAGATAAACTGGACGACATCAAAACTTAAAATGTCTGTACATCGAAGGACACAATCAACAGAGTGAAAAGGCAACCCATGGCATGAGAGAAAATATTTGCAAACCATCTATCTGACAAGGGGTTAATATCCAGATTGTATAAAGAACCCCTACAACTCAACAACAACAAACACAAACAACCTGATTAAAAAATGGGCAAAGAACTTGAATAGACATTTCTCCAAAGGAGACATACAAATGGTCAATGAACACATGAAAAGATGCTCGACATCCCTGCTCACTATGGAAATCCAGATCAAACCCAAAAAGAGATATCACCTCACACCCATCATCAAACAAACAAAAACAACAGGAAACAATAAGTGTTGAGAAGGATGTGAAGAAATGGGACCCCTTATATTGGTGGGGGCACTACAGAAAACAGTATGGAAGTTTCTCAAAAAATTAAAAATAGAATTACCATATGATTCAGCAATTCCACTTCAGGATATTTATCCAAAAGAATTGAAAACAGGAACTCAAACGGATATTTGTGCAGAATTATTATGAAGCATTATTCACAGTAGCCTAAAGGTAGAATCAGTCACAGTGTCCATGATGAATGGATGAATAAAACGTGGCATACACACACAATGGAATATTACTCAGAGCCTTAAAAGGGAAGGAAATTCTGACACAGGCTACAACACGGATGAGCCCTGAGGACACTATGCTAAGTGAAATAAGCCAGTCACAAAAGAATATGTACTATGTGGCCCGGCCGGGCGTGGCTCAGCGGTTGAGCGTCGACCTAGGATCCAGGCAATCGGGGTTCGATTCCTGGTCAGGGCACAGGCCCGGGTTGCGGGCTCGATCCCCAGCTGGGGGCGTGCAGGAGGCAGCCGATCAATGACTCTCATCATTGATGTTTCTGTCTATCTCTCTCCCTCTCCTCTCTCTGAAATCAATAAAGATATATTAAAAATATATATATATATATGTACTGTGTGGTTCCTCTTGTATGAAGTAGTACCTAGAATAATCAGATTCATAGAGACAGAAAGTAGAATGGTGGTTGCCTGTGGCTGGGGTCAGAGGGGAATGGGAAGTTATTGTTTAATAGGTACAGAGTACAAAGTTTCAGTTTTGCAAGAAGAAAAGTATTCTGGAGATGGGTGGTGGTTGTGCAACAATGTAAATGTGCTCGATGCCGCTGGACTGTACACTTAAAAATGGTTAAGGTGGTAAGTTTTATGTTACATGTATTTTACCACCTTTTTAAAAATTAATAATAGTAAAAATAAGGTGTTGATGAGGTACAGCAGGAAATTTTGAAAGTTACCTCATACAGAGAATCCTGGAACCAACTTTTGGTGTTAACAGGAATAGTAGCAGAATTATCTTGTAGTGATACTACAACTGAAGTCAGTAAAATTCTAATTTGTATCACACTGTGAATATGGCTTAATTTTTAGTAAAAGATGTCATCTCACATATCAAAAGTTGGGTAGCAAATAGTTATAATCTATCACATTTATAGATTAACAGAAAAAACATATTGCGTCAATAAATGCAAAAATGTTTGTGTAAAATTTAATAAAAATTCTTAATTTAAAAAGAGCCTACTGCAGTCAAACTCCAAATCCTCCTCTTTTCTTTGACTATCTAAGAATCCAAATATTCTTCTGATAGTTCACGTACAGTGTTCTAATGAGAATGATCAGCTTTCAGGTCTGTCTCCCAGACTGAATAGGCATCTTATAAATCCTTGTTACCCAAGCACCTCACTTGGTGCTAATGAAAAGAGGTTCTAAGTAAATTCGGGCTGACGGGCTGGCTGGGAAACAAAAATAGCGATTAAGCATGAGCTTTGTCTGCTTAAGGCTCAGAGGGTATCTCTGAACAGGTCCGAGGGTGAGCCACCTTGAAGTCTAAAAGGACACCAGGGCTGACTGGCTCCGAGCGGGTGCCACGCAGAGCACTTCCCGGGGCTATGAGAAGACCACGTGCAAGATGGAAGCTTGACTGGGGCACAGAAACCTGTCCGCTTCTCCTCATACCCCAGGTGTAACTGAGAGGGCTGCAAGAATCAGAGGCCGGAGGAAGAGGACAGAGAACACAGGCCAAGGGTGAGGAAGGCACCTCTGAATGGTCCACCCCGAAGAGCAACCAGGAAGACCCTCCATGGCCCACGTGGCACAAGCCAGCCTAGAGCAGGGGTCAGGACATCTGTACTGTAGGACCAGAGAGTAAGTATTTCAAGCTTTGAGGGCCTCGGAGTCTATCTCAGCTACTCGACTTTGCCAGTGTGGTACAAAAGCCACCACAGACAATACGTAAATGAATGTGTGGCTGTGTTCCGATAAAACTTTATTTTTAAAAATAAGTGGTGGACCCAATTTAGCCCACAGACCACAGTTTCCAGACCTCCGGCCTAGTTCTTACTTCTTAAATATAATTCAGGGCCCAGCAGCATTGGCATCACTGGGAAGCTTGTTAGATCTGCATAATTTTAGGCACCACCCAAGAGACCTCTGGAATCAAAATCTCATTTTACAAGATGCCCAGTGGAGTTTGCCCAGTAGATCTGTGATCCACTTCAGCCTGAGCACTAAGATGCTGTAACAGCACAGGCCCAGGTGGAGTTTTGCTTAGTGCCTCCTTTATAAATCTGACCTAGGGTAGGAGAGCAGAAGAGATCCTGTTCAGGACAGCTGCCAATGAAACAAGGTCTGCAGAAGTCAGAGAGGTGAAGAACCCCAAACTCTACACCCCACCTTCCCTTGAGCCCTCCCTCAATAGTGATGGAACAGCTCCAGGTAGCTCTGCACATTTTCCACTGGCGATTTGCCCTCTAATTAAAACATTACTATACCTCCTACTGTGTTGGTTAATTTTATGAGTTAACTTGACTGGCCATAGGGCATCTAGATTAAACATTATTTCTGGGTGTGCCTCTGAGGGTATTTCCAGATGAGATTAAGATGTGAATCGATGGACTCACAAAAGTAGATGGCCCTCCCCAGGGTGGGTGGGTATCATCCAAGGACACTCAAGGAAGCTCCTTATCACTGGCTGGCTCCTAGAACAGTGGACAGTGATTCTCAACTTTGGGCAGTTTGCCCCGTAACGGTCATTTTACGATGTCTGAAGACATTTTTGGCTGTCACAACTGCAATGGGGGTTAACGTGGCATCTAGTGGGTAGGGAGCAAAGAGACTTCTAAACATCCTTCAATGCACAATAGCCCTCCTCCCGATAAAGAACTATCTGGCCCAAGATATTAATGTCTTGAGGTTAAGAAACCCTGTTCTAAAACAAACATCATTACTTCATTGACCAGTCTAAGTGACTCTCAGTGTTTGTGAACCTCATGCACATCACCAATGTAATCAGAAATGTGTCAGAGAGACAGACTGCTCGGCAGTTCCCAGCAGCCTTGGTCAGAACATCACAAATCCAAGGCCTGGGCCAGCAACTCAACATTCCCAGTAACCAGAAGTGAAGAGGCTCTGGGAGAACAGCTCATATTAACCAAACCGTCAAGAGAAGGTAACATGAGCCAATAACAGTTTATTCATTCATAACTGGAGAGCCACCTGCCACAAGATCTGGATCAGGTCTAGACTATTTGACCTCCAGACTAGTTGACCCTGCGGATTACCTTGGTGAGGGCAAAATTAGGACTACAGAGCTGTAGGTCTTCAAAGCCGGGGCTTCCTTCCAGTGATGACCCACTGGATTAATCCCACACTATTCTAGGGAAAAATCATGTCTAGAGAACACTCTAAGCCAGTCAACCAGCATCGTAGCACACACTCTGGACAGAACCTACCAATTCTTATAAATCTTCCCCTCAAACAGCTTTCTTTCATCTATGACCCAAAGCTCCTTCACCTAATTGCTGACAAATTATAACACGACTGAAAAGAGATAGCTGCTTTCCGTGACTCACATCTCAGAATTTTGCCTTCCTGGATACCTGCTGAGCTCTTGATGAAGATGACAACAGGTCTTATGAGGGCCACCTCCTAGAGTGAATGACCAACCGCATGCATTGTATGCTATTTTCCACTGGCTTTCATGTTAATGGTAACCTCACTTCCAGTGCTGCGAATTCATCTTCTCTGGAACCCATTTATAATGAATGTAATCATTGAACGTATAAAATGAAATGTGCCTGGTGATGATACATTTCATCTTAAATTGCATTATCAGCAGTGAGCATCCCTGCTAGGTAAGCCCCCATGCAGGGCACTATCTTATTACATAGTGTTCAGAGGATGGTAAAAATCTCATTACCCCCTTAGCTACCTGGGGAGAGGTGTGCTGTCAGGAACTGAGGAATCTCTGGTAAGAACAGCTCATCCTTGGTGATGTTAGTATCAAGCAGTTCAGGTCCTGAAACTTGGTTGGCTCCGGTTGGCTTCTCAGGCTCTGAAAGAAAAGAGAAATGGTCATCAGAGAGGATCACATGCCCAGGAGATCACATCATGCATTAGGCCTGGTATTGTCGTGAACCACTGAGCAGAGCAGCCTTCGTGATGTTTGTCTGGACCCCTAGAGAGATGGAATACCATTCCGAGAGGGCAAAGCCCACTGCCGGTGTTTAATCTGGAATTTGAACCAGACAGCCAGAGAAACCGACCTCCCAAGGTCATAACAGAAAGGGAAGCGACGGGTAGAAGATCAAAGACACATGTTTCCTCTTCCCTCTTGTGAGCCAAAACCCACAAAACAGCTCGAGTGGGATGTGTCCACATGGCCCCTCATCACTGAAGTTTGCAGGCCTGCCTCCCTCAAACAGGAAGGGAGGGGAGTCAGTTCCCAGAAAGCAATGCCCAGATGGGCCATGAAATGAAGTCTCGTGAAGTCTGTGCGGGCAAGAAAAACCTGGAATTGCTGATGTGTGGATTCCCGTAGCCTGGCCCTTTCATCCAGAGGTCTCAAGCCCTCCGCTCACCCAGCGAGGGAGGCCAGCGGGCCTCTGGAAGGCCTGGGTCCCACCCAGCTCCTTTACGTTGCCAGCTTCAACGAGATGTGTGTAGGAAGAATGAAATTAGTCACGCAGCCCACAGAGCCCTGGGCAGCCCCTGCTCCACCCAGACACACTCATTCATTTGTCGTCACTGCTTCCCGCTGACGCCTGCAGAATCCGACGGCTGCGGTTAATTTACGTCTTCATAGGTGCTTACCCCAGTTGCCGGGGCCTCACAAGGATTTGTGGCACCTTCCTAGCTCCATTTCACTGGGGAAGAAATTAAGGACGGAAGCTTGCAGCACAGGACTGGAAGCTCTTTGGAGACTCACGCAGCAAAGCGTGGGGGCAGCCCTGAGCCGCCCTCGCCCTCCGCCCGACTCTGATGGACACCGCGCTCCGCACTCCCGCGGGGCCACGCGGAGCTGGGGTGCAAAGGCTTCCGTGGAAAACAGCGCCACATCACAGCCGGGAAAGAGGGTACCCGCGGCCCCTGGGAATGACTGGGCAGAGAGAAACCCGTTTTCTCTAGGGGGCTGACCAACACCTGTGGACGACACATCTGACACACGCCCACCAGCTGCTCGGCTTCCCTGGTTCAGCCAACTTCCCCCTCCAGCCCGCTGCAGCAAACCTGGCCAGGGCCATATCCCGGACCTGCGAAGTGCTGACTGTGAAATCGGGGCTGGGAACTCCTTCAGGGCAGAGATGATGTTTCTGCTCTGCTCTTTGTTCCCAGCGTCCCCCACAGTAAGTGCGTGGAGCTGACACTGAGTGACAGGTGATGAATGACTCACACTCAGAAATCTTACTCTCCAACCAGAACCTTCCATCCTGGTGCCTCCCTCACTCCTGGAATCAAAGTAAACATGCTCCCCAACCTGTCAGAGGCCTCTGGCTTCTCAAACTCTCCGGCTCGCCCAGGGCGCAAGTCTCAGCTTACACTCACTTTTCTCTACACAGCCTGGCTATGTAACTACGCCACACTCGGCGCTTACCACGACCTTTCTGCTGCCCTCCCACCACCCCCGGGCCTAAGCACAGGGCCACTCCAGCCCTGCCTGCCTGCCTTTCTGCCCACAGGCTGAGTGCTTGTGAAGAAAGGTCATTCTTATTAGCATTATTGCAAATGTTTGGTTTACATCCTTGGCGAGGCCCTTATATTGCTAGAAAAATCCTACGTGTCCCTGGCATCCCACTTTCTCATTTTCGAGAGGAAATGTACCAAACCTCTACCTCTTTCTTCCAGTCCTTTCTCCATCCTCAGCTCTCTGCTGTGCTCCACCCTCCCAGAGAAGGTCGAGGCCAAGCTACATGACCTGCAACTTTCCTCTGTTCCATCTGGTCCTCACCTTTCCCCCTCCCGTCTCGAAGGGAGATTTTACTTGTACTTTTCATGAAAGAACTTCCTCCTTCCTATAAGATTTCATTCCATCCATGATTCACCCTTCTTTCTCCTTCCCTTTATTGACTGAACTCCATCTCTCTCTCTAAGGTGACAGATAGACAGAAGAAAAGACGAATAGATAGATAAGACAGATAAGATGCTTAGAGAGAAAGAAAAGAGAGAAGAGATTATATATATAAATGCCCCTCAAACTTTCAGTCCTTCCCTTCCGTCTCCCCTTCTCTCCCTCTCTCTGGATATATGTGAAATAAATATCAGATAGTACATGTATACACAGAGGTGTGTATTTGCGTGTATGTGTACATATACACATATATGTACATCTATCAATCTTTCTCCCTCAAACGTCTTCTCATTCTCTCCCAAGCACTCTAGAAATCTCTCTCTTTCAGTCTCCTGGTCTTATATGCTCCTGATCTATAATAAAATGGCTTAATTGCTCTTATCCTTAAATGACCTTCTCTTTGCTCAGCCTCCACTCTAGGTCCTTGTCACTTGCTCTCCTTCCCTTCGTAGACAAACCTCTTCACAGAAACTTACATTTCCTCTCTCCATGTCTTTACCATCCTTCAGTCCTTGGCCCACAAATATCTGGCTTCATATCCAGCCCATCTACCAAAGAATCTGTTGCTAAGGTGGAGTGATGGTCCGGGCCTCCAACAAGAGTTCAACAAGAGTTCGGAGGCTACAAGCTCTTGGCTGCTGGGGATCTCATGCCCTCTCCATTCGGGCTGGCTAGCACAGCGCCTGGCACATACATTCTTTAAAATGAAGTCTGTCACAAAGATGGGAGTTAAGGACTTAAGCGACTAGAGCTCAGGTGGCCTGACCCAGGCTTTAGAACAGAGTGAATATCGCAGTACAATGGGGAAAGGGTAGTCTTTTTGCAAATGGTGCCAGGACAACTGGATATTGGTTTTGAATATTTATTCTTTACCTGGACTATTGAGTTAGCCCCCTAGTGGGTCTGAAAAAACTGGCAACCTAACCCCAACCCAACAGGTACAGAAAAAAAATGCTTAGGACCAGGAAAGGAATAGCTTAGAAAGACAGAAAACACATAGACGATAACCGCTCTACTTCAGCCAAACATCACTGAAAAAAAGTGGCCCCACCTACACCCACTTGAGCAAAGGCTGAGTGGGGAACCTAGGCTTCTGCCCTTGAGAGACTATAACAAGACATCCAACATCCCCAGAGTAAGCAAAGGCACTGGAGAGAAAAGGAAGAATGTGAGTTAAAGTATATGGCACGTCTGGAGGAAAGGGAAGGCAGCGAAGGGGTAGACACTGGCCTGGTGTCAGCAAAAGCCAAGTAGGAAGATGGGATTTTCATCCCAGACAGCTGGTAACGAGCTACCCCTCCTGGCAGTATCGCTGGAGGCCACATGGGAAGCCTGGACTTCCATCCCCACTCGGCAGTATGCAGGTCCCCCTCGCTCCCTCCTGGGGTAGTGTCAGCAAAGTCAGGACTTTCATCACCTCTAGAAGTTGTAAGCCCCACTGTCACCACCACGATGTCAGTGGAGAACAGACAGGACCCAGTACTCCCCTTCTCACCCAGCATAATGAAAGGCCAATCGATACATGTCAGCACCGAGATGACGGCAATGTTGGCATCATCTGACAGATTTTAAAGCAGCCATGAGAAAAAACACTTCAATGATCAATTATGAATGTGCTTGAAACCAATGGGGAAAAGAAACAAAAACCAAAAAACCAAACAACAGAATGTTCAGCAAGGTAATAAAAAGTCCCAGCAAAGAAATAGAAGATATAAAGGAAAAAAATTAAAATTTTAGGATTAAAAAGAATTGGTAAACAGGAAGATAGAACAATAGAACTTACTCAACGGGGCAACAGAGTGAAAATAGACCCAAAAAAATAATAATAATTAAACAGAGCCATAGGGATCTGTGAGGCTATAATAAAAGATCTAATATTCATGTCATCAGAGCTCCAGAAGAGGAAGAGAAAAGAGGCAGAACTGTAAAAGTGATCAAAGGAATAATGGCTGTAAAATACCCAAGTTTGGCAAGAGACATAAACCTACAGATCCAAGAAGCTGAGCAAACCCCAAACAAATCATTAAACTCCTGCAAATCAAAAACAAAGAAAAAAGTCTTGAAAGCAGCCTGAGAAAAAAACATCTTAATCTAGGTCAGAGAGACATCAGAGAAAAGAAATAAAACTACCCCTATCTGCAGATGACAGGGTGGTCTACACAGAACATCCTGAGGAATCTACAAAAACAGTAACAAACCAAACAACCCTAATAAGTGGACTCAGCAAGGTCACAGAAGAGATTAACATAACATACAAATATCAAGTTTACTTCTATATACTAGCAAAGAACATGTGGGCAGTGAAATTTAAAATATAATACCATTTACAATTGCTCAAAAAATGAAATACTTAGATGTAAATCTAACAAGACATGTACAGGACTTGAATACTGAAAACTATACAACTCTGTGGAGAGAAATGAAAGATCTAAACAAATGGAGGGACATACCATGGCCACTCAACATAATAAAGATACTAATTCTCCCCAAATTGATAAATAAGCATATGCAATTTTTGTTAAAAACACCAGCAAGATTTGTTGTCCATACAGATAAGATTATGCTAAAATTTACATAAAAAGGCAAAGGAACTAGAATGGTTAAAACACGTTTTAAAAAGAATAAAGAGAAAGTAATACTATATCCAATTTCAGGACTTACTACCCAGCTATATTCATCAAGACTGTGTGTTATTGCAGAGATAGACACGTAGGTCAATGGAACAGAACAGAGAACCCAAAAATAGACCCACACAAATATGCCCAACTGATTTTTGACAAATGTGCAAAAGCGATTCAATGCAGGAAAAACCATTTTCAACAAATGGTGCTGAAGCATCCATAGGCAAAAAAGTGCGCCTCGATCTCAGCCTCACACCTTATATAGAAATTAACTCAGGCCCTGGCTGGTATGGCTCAGTTGGTTGGGTCAGCCCACGCACTGAAAGGGCTCAGGTTCGATTCCTGGTCAGGGTACATGCCTGGGTC